GGGATAATTTCATTCCTTGTTCGATACCCTTAACGCCTCTCATGTTTCTCAGATTATCCGCTATATTGTTCCAACCGGATATATCACGCTCGATATCTCACACGATAGCAGTCATACGCAAGAGGTGGCACCACTCTTTATCTTGACCTTTGGTTGCATCTGTTGACCTCTGGGTTGCATCTGTTGACCTCTGGGTTGCATCTGTTGACCTCTGGTTGCATCTGTTGACCTTTGGGTTGCACCTGTTGACCTCTGGGTTGCATCTGTTGACCTCTGGGTGCATCTGTTGACCTCTGGGTGCATCTGCTGACCTCTGGGTTGCATCTGTTGACCTCTGGTTGCATCTGTTGACCTCTGGGTTGCATCTGTTGACCTCTGGTTGCACCTGTTGACCTCTGGTTGCATCTGTTGACCTCTGGCTGCATCTGTTGACCTTTGGGTTGCACCTGTTGACCTCTGGTTGCATCTGTTGACCTCTGGCTGCATCTGTTGACCTTTGGGGTTCACCTGTTGACCTCTGGGTGCATCTGTTGACCTCTGGTTGCATCTGTTGACCTCTGGGTGCATCTGTTGACCTCTGGGTTGCATCTGTTGACCTTTGGGTTGTACCTGTTGACCTCTGGGTTGCATCTGTTGACCTCTGGGTTGCATCTGTTGACCTCTGGGTTGCATCTGTTGACCTCTGGGTTGCATCTGTTGACCTCTGGGTGCATCTGTTGACCTCTGGGTGCATCTGTTGACCTCTGGGTGCATCTGTTGACCTCTGGCTGCATCTGTTGACCTCTGGTTGCATCTGTTGACCTCTGGTTGCACCTGTTGACCTCTGGTTGCATCTGTTGACCTTTGGGTTGCACCTGTTGACCTCTGGGTTCATCTGTTGACCTCTGGGTTGCACCTGTTGACCTCTGGTTGCATATGTTGACCTCTGGGTGCATCTGTTGACCTCTGGGTTGCACCTGTTGACCTCTGGCTCAATATATATAATCACATTGCCCCTAAATTATTCTCTCATTGTAATGTTACACACACCTCTAACTTTTTACACTGGTGTAAGCTCCCCCCCCCCCCACCCTTAGGAGAGAGAGAGCAGCCGTCTTCAGACGGATAAGAGAACACGAACGATGTCGTGGATCCAAATGTGGCTAGTGTAACTTTAAGATAAATACGTGTTAATTTTGATTCGTATCTATTTCTAGTTTTATGCGATACGTGTTAATTTTGATTCGTATCTATTTCTAGTTTTATGCGATACGTGTTAATTTTGATTCGTATCTATTTCTAGTTTTATGCGAACGAAAATCCGCAAATTCTCCCGTTTTCTCATTGGAAATTGATCAATTTCAAAGTATCACCATTGGAGATTGAAATAATCGAGTCAGGATTAGAGATAGAGGGCAAAATAATCCCAATAGGCGGTTAAATCCACACAGGTATCCATGCCGCTGCTGCTGAAGTAATCAATTCAGTTATTGAATAATCCACGTCACAGGTGGAATAATCCGGGTGAAAGGAGAATAATCCAGATCGTAGCCAACGTTGGATGCGTTAAATCACGGCGCTCTTGAGTAAATAATCCAGGATTTAACCTTCTCAAAAATGATGACCTATCCGGCACGTCAACTCCGTACTCCAGAAGTACGATGTTTACACCGCCAACGGCGCCGCCTTAAAGAATCAAACGAGAATATTAAGTCACAGTTGGTTGCAGTCGAACTTCATATCCACGGCTTTCTCTTCATAATACTCTATGGCGATATAATATACGATTACAATAACAAATAATGGATATGGTTGTACCAGAAAAACACACACATTTTCTTCACGCAACCGTCACGAGCTTCGGCATTCTTTTGTTTGGAATTAGCGTCACCAGCGGCGTTCGAATCTTCGCTCTGACTGATGGCTTAGGCATCAATGTTCCCTCCGACTGATGTCCGATATATCCCTGTGCATATTAGGCTACGATATTCGTATATATATATATATATATATATATATATATATATATATATATATATATATATATATATATATATATATATATATATATATATATATATATATATATATATATATATATTAGGCTACGATATTCGTGTATACGATATCCCTGCACATATTAGCAGGCTATGATATCCATGTTCATATTATAGCCTACGATAACTGGCAGCGTTGTAGGATCGCCTTGGCAATATATGTAGATAAAATATCTACAGTTCTGTAGTAGATTACTAACTCATTTTCGTACGTTATTTATCATCTACTTCTGTAGCTTTTGTTACTGTGATTGACGCGTGAGGACTGAAGGAGTCATCCTGTAGCCTAAACACCAGGGGGCCAGATTCACGAAGCAGTTACGCAAGCACTTACGAACGTGTACATCTATCCTCAATCTTTGACGGCTTTGTTTACATTTATTAAACAGTTTACAAGCATGAAAACTTCCCAATCAACTGTTGTTATTGTTAAAACAGCCTCCTGGTGCTTCGGAGCTCATTAGGTGTTTAATCATTGTAAACAAAGCCGCCAAAGATTGAGAAAAGATGGACAGGTTCGTAAGTGCTGTCGTACCTGATTCGTGAATCTGGCCCCTTCAGTTGGGGCCAAATTGGTGACAGGGAACTGTATTCTGATTTTTGTAATTTTGATTTCCATTTTATTTCATACTAGTTATGGTACGAAATGAGTGATTGTAATAATTTAGCCCTGTAACTTGTCCCTTTTTTTATTTTGAAACAGGAAACAAAATACAATATACAAAAAATACAATATACAAAAAATACAATATACAAAAATACAGTCAAATTAAGTGTTCTGGCAGCCACTCAGTTTGTCTTCATCAACAGTCGGCCCTAGTAACTCCCCTTGAGTATTTTGTATGTGGGAAACATGGCTCCTCCGAGTCATCTATTTTTTTGTGTGACTGTGGGGGCTAGTCTGACTCTGGACCTTTTCCTGCTGTGTTTTTGTGTTAGATCAGCACGCCAGGCTGGTGTAGGTGAGTAACTAGGTGAGCACACTGGCGCTGCACATGCCATGATTGGTCTGACGTATATGGAATGCGTTTCAAGCGATTGAAACGTATTACCAGGTGTGGGTAAGAGAGAAAGAGAGAGAGAGAGAGAGAGAGAGAGAGAGAGAGAGAGAGAGAGAGAGAGAGAGAGAGAGAGAGAGAGAGAGAGAGAGAGAGAGAGAGAGAGAGAGAGAGAGAGAGAGAGAGAGAGAGAGAGAGAGAGAGAGAGACAGATAGAGTTACTGATTGCTTATACACCCTTGACCTTTCCAAAGGGCTAATGCCACCTTCCAACATAACTCAGGAGTCGGAGCTCATCTCTTGGGCCCCAAGGCAAGCGAGTGAAGGGAAGGGGGGAACTATCAACAGAAAGCGCCAAGCCATTACGACTATATATAGCACTGGGAAGGGGAGTCGGGATAAGGATTTGTGATGGGACGCTGGGAAAGGAAGGAAGGAACGGTGCCCAACCCACTTGTGGACGGTCGGGGATTGAACGCCGACCTGCATGAAGCGAGACCGTCGCTCTACCGTCCAGCCCAAGTAGTTGGGGGGACAAGCGAGCGAGACAAATATATACAAAGGTGAATGAAAGCGAAAAGAAGTATATGACCTCTGACCTCTCGCGCGTGGTCGCTCCCCCATGATCAAGAAAGCTATGGGTGTTAGCCAGTTGCAAGAGTGTAAGTAATACTAACCGGTGACCTGGGGGGGGGGTGAGGTCAAGGACCATATCAGAGGTCAAGAAGGGTTGTCAATATGCTGGATCACTGATGTTGTTGTTGTTGGTCTGGAGTACCGAGTCACCCCCCAGGTGACAGGTTACACACATGTCTACAGGATGGTGAGGGACGTCCTACATGTCTACAAGATGGTGAGAGACTTCCTACATGTCTACAAGATGGTGAGAGACTTCCTACATGTCTACAAGATGGTGAGAGACTTCCTACATGTCTACAAGATGGTGAGGGACGTCCTACATGTCTACAAGATGGTGATTAAGTAACTGATAATACCTCCACCTTCAACCCCTTCCCCCTCCCCCCCTCCCCCCCTCCCCCCCTCCCCCACACCCCCACACCCCCCCACCCCCCCCCCCCCCCCCCCCCCCCCACCCATGATGACTATATCCCATCAAGCAAATCCTGGTTCCGCCCTTCACCTCTTGTTGAAGACTTGCAGGTGTGGGGGGGGGGGGGTTATGGGGATTGATTTAGGGGGGTGGGGGTCGGTGAGGGAGGGGGGGGGAGGGTGGTTGAGCGCGAAGGCTGTGAATTAAGTGCACTTAAGATGTTAGGCTTAATGCGTTCGTTTGGAATATTGTGAGTTTTCTATGTTTGGTTAAGTTGGGATCAGTTAGGGTTATGGATGGTCAGCCAACACTGTCAGCCAACACTGTCAGCCAACACTGTCAGCCAACACTGTCAGCCAACACTGTCAGCCAACACTGTCAGCCAACACTGTCAGCCAACACTGTCAGCCAACACTGTCAGCCAACACTGTCAGCCAACACTGCCAGCCAACACTACCAACCAACACTACCAACCAACACTACCAACCAACACTACCAACCAACACTACCAACCAACACTACCAGCCAACACTACCAGCCAACACTGCCAACCAACACTACCAGCCAACACTACCAGCCAACACTGCCAGCCAACACTACCAACCAACACTACCAACCAACACTACCAACCAACACTACCAACCAACACTACCAACCAACACTACCAGCCAACACTACCAGCCAACACTGCCAACCAACACTACCAGCCAACACTACCAGCCAACACTGCCAACCAACACTACCAACCAACACTACCAGCCAACACTACCAACCAACACTACCAACCAACACTACCAACCAACACTACCAACCAACACTACCAACCAACACTACCAACCAACACTACCAGCCAACACTGCCAGCCAACACTACCAACCAACACTACCAACCAACACTACCAACCAACACTACCAACCAACACTACCAACCAACACTACCAACCAACACTACCAGCCAACACTGCCAGCCAACACTACCAACCAACACTACCAACCAACACTACCAGCCAACACTACCAACCAACACTACCAACCAACACTACCAACCAACACTACCAACCAACACTACCAACCAACACTACCAACCAACACTACCAGCCAACACTGCCAGCCAACACTACCAACCAACACTACCAACCAACACTACCAGCCAACACTACCAACCAACACTACCAACCAACACTACCAACCAACACTACCAACCAACACTACCAACCAACACTACCAACCAACACTGCCAGCCAACACTGTCAGCCAACACTACCAACCAACACTACCAGCCAACACTACCAGCCAACACTGCCAACCAACACTCCGTACTAATGATTTAACAGACAATTCAACTAGGAACTGATGCCCACGATTAAAGAATAAGTTGGAGGCGGCTTTCCTTGGCTCTCACACCTCTATGTACAAAAAAAAAAAATGCAAAAACACTACGTTGGATCCGTGACGACAGTGAAAGCTAGAATGGGTGAAATCTAGGGGAAAGGGGTGTGAAAGTTAGGGGGTGAAAGCTAGGGGGTGAAAGCTAGGAGGACCAGCATGAATTTGGAAAACTATTTTATGGTCACTGGTGAAATCTTTCCTCTGATGTTTTCCCCCATCCAACTGCATACATATCCAGTTCCTGTCTCCTTCCCTTCCCCGAAGCCTCCTTCCTGGAAGAAGAATTTTCCAGAAGCCATAGATGTCGATCTGCAGGTTTGTGTAATAACTGTAGAGGGGGTTTCCTGGAAGGTTAGGAGAGGAGGAGAGGTTGGCTTCTGCTGGAGTCTTCAGCAGGGCTC